GGAACATCTGGTGCGCCCTAAGTGTCCTCGTTCTTGGGGTGCTTCTCCACAGAGCACGCAAGACGGGATGGGAGGCGTGCCGTGAATGTGGCCTCCTGTGGGGCCTCGGTTGGCTGGGTTCCAAGTCTCGTGTGTCATTCGACTTGGGAGGAGGTAGCGGTGAGATCCAGCTCCGTTCCTGTCCCAAGCAGTCCCGTGGCACCGACCCCCTGCTGGCGGCCTTCATGCGCAAGTTCGCAGAGGCAAAGGCCAACAACGACGAGGAAGAGCATAATCACCTGCTCGCCATCTGTCCCCAGCTCCAGGGGCACGGGACACCACCACCGGTGGCCAGACCTGACGCCTGGCGACGAGAGCCCAGCAGTTCCGACAGTTCCAGGCGCAGCGAAGGAAGCTCAAGACCCAAGTAGTGGCAGCGGCGAACCACCAGAAAGACATCCACCATAAGCTCATGGACAACATCGGCCAGTGCTTGGAGGCTCAGGCGGAGATCGAGTCGTTGGTAGTCAACAAACGAAGGCAGCATGCACATCTCAGGATCGACAGGCACGAGCGGAGGCCGCAAAAGAGTTTCCAGAGTTCTCACCAGAGGACCTGGCTTCAGTCGGCGCGGCCACCAAACTGCAATACGAGCAGGCCGCATCCGCGGCCAAGCATGCCAAGGGCGCTTTCAAGACCGCCAACGAGGCGGGACAGGCAACGAATTATGCAGCCGAGCGTCTCATAGAATTGCGTATCTCAGTCAAGCGTCGTCGCGCAGCTGATGATGGCCCAGCGGCGGCAACGACAGGACCCCACGAAAGTCAGAGAGGAGGGCTTCCACGATCCAGTCGGCTACTCAGATGCAGTGGAATTGGATCAGTTCATTGCCAAGAGGGCGCAGCTCATGGCGAAGGCCAGAATGGTTTTCAGCAGCAGCGCTGTCTCGACACGTGGTCCACCGTCGTCCTGGCAGGACGAAGCCTCGCTTGAAGGATGGTCTCGTGAATGTGCTCTTCGCCAATGTGACGGCCGATGGGGAGAAGGTGCGCCACTATGTGGGCACAGCAGTTTTGGCATGATTGATCCAGCGGGTCGCCACCTGCCCCCTTAGGCCGCGAAGCTGGAGGCCAAGATGTTGCGTTTCAAGGGTTGGCACTTGCATGACACGTGGGCTCCAGCGACGCCATCGTGGCGGAGTGCGAACGGCGCTCGTGGAGGAACCTGTTGGCTGGCGCGAGCAGGGCACGTCGCGGCAGCGCACCGTCCAGATGGGTTTGGTCAGAATGTGTTCCAGGCTGACTTGAAGGGCATCTCCGTCATCCTATGGAGATTCAAAGGCGCGACCCTGGCGTTGAGATAAGTGTATGTGGGTGACGTTTTCGAACTCATTCGGGTTAACGGAGCCATGATGCCACCACTCGCGCGTTTTTTTTTTTTTTTTTTTTTTTTTTTTTTTTTTTTTTTTTTTTTTTTTTTTTTTTTTTTTTTTTTTTTTTTTTTTTTTTTTTTTTTTTCCTCCCCCCTTCTTCTTCTTCTTCTTCTTCTTCTTCCACAGGGTGTACGTTGGGTGATTGTGTGTGTGATTGGAATCATACTCCCCAACGGTTGAATGAGTCGGTCTTTCTTGGGGCTCTACGACGAGAGCGACTTGTATCGGCGGGCTGCATTGCCACTTGCACGTGTGAGAAGGGGCGTCTCATCGATTTCGGAATGTGCTCGCGTGACCACAGTCCCCGAGAGACATGCTTCCGACATGTGCGCGACGTGCCGTGGAGCCCGCATGTGGGTTTACACTTGCAACCGCGATGGGGGCCCGCCTCGGTCAAGGTCCAGGTGCCAAATTTGCATGTGAAGCTGGGGGTCCCACATATCAGCGCACGGTGCCCCGAAAGAGCTCAGCGGGCACAGCGGGGCCGCGAACGCTACCAGACGATCGAGGAGATGCAGCGTCGGGGGGGCGCCGACGCGCCGATCCAGGGGGGCCTGCACTTTGACAGCCGCGCGCGTCTGATGGAGGAGACCTTCAGCAAGCAGCGGAGGGGCGCGGCGTCGGGCGAGCAGCGGGTGACGGCGCAACATGTCACGAGAGCCTGCTCAGTGGGCGAGCCTTGCGACGTGGTCAAGCAGTCGTGGACCTAGCCGCTCAACCCAGGTGGGGCTTGCCTTCTGGTTCGACGCTGGGGGCCGAGCACTCGCTGTGCATGATGACTGACACCAAGGCCAAGGATAGCGCGTGTCGAGGTTGTCCTCCGAGATTTACATTGCGCAAGGTCATCCTCCAGGAGAAGTCAGACCTACTCATTGGTGCAGATGTGCGTGGGGCATGCCTTGGCGGCTGGGATGCGTGAGCTGACGATCCTCCAGGCAAGGGGGAGTAAAGCGTCCACTATCAAGTACATCTGATTTAGTTGATAACCTCAGACGTTGGAGGCCTGCCGTGGAGGCAACATGATAGTGGTCGAGATCTGCAGGCAGAGAAGGCGGTGTGGAATGGCGTTTGGCAACTGTCTTGGAGGCGCGCAGGCAGGGTGGGGGGTCTGCCGTGCCGTCGTCAGGGGCAGTGTGTTCGGTAAGAGCGGGATTCAGTCCCGCTTCCAGTTCGGGGTGGCGCTCGTCATAGACAGGCCGCGTTGCCAGGGGCGCGCGCCCCCCCGGGGCGGTCGGATCGCCGGGGCTTCATCCAGAAGAGACCGCGCGGCCAGGGGCGTGCAGTCACTCACCTGGGGCGGTCGGACCGCCGAGCACCGCGTCCATTCCAGACGCGTGGCCGGGGGCGCGCGCTCCCCAGGGGCG